ACTCAGGTGAAGACTGATATCTCAAATAATACTATAGCTGATATTTTATCTTAGTTATATGAGAATACAGTGGCATTCAATTGTCTTCTATTGTACTTCAATAAGTAGAGCAGAGAGAAACTACGAAATTCATAATAAAAAGATGCTAGTAATTATTAAAGCACTGATAGAATGATATACTGAGCTGAAAAGCCTTCAGAGAACAGAGAGATTCAAGATCTTGACTGATCATAGAACTATTGAGTACTTCATAACAACTAAGAATCTCAATGCTAGGCAAGTATGATGGACAGAGTTTCTCTTATGATTTTACTTTCTAATACAGTATTAGCTGAGGGTTAAAATACACTAGCAGACATACTGAGTCAGTTGAAGGTTTAGAAAAATAGCACAAGTACTCAAATATAACTATTTTTCAAGTTGAAGAGATTGAATTCAAAGATTATCAAGAAATCTAATAAGGTCAAGACACTAAATGCGGATATACACATTCTTGATAAAGTCAAGATAAGAAACAAAGAAGCAGAATCACTGAGATCAGAATGTAAGAAAGCTCAATAGAGAGAATAGTACTGAGAGCTGATAGATGAACTTTTATATTTTGAAGAGTATTTAATGATATTAATTGAGGAAGATTCTACTCTCTGAATATATCTTCTAAAAGATATTCATAAGCAGTCATCTATAATACATCTTAGGAAAAAAAAGCTATACTTGTTAGTGAAGGCAAGTTACTACTAAATTAACTGAATCAAAGATATTGATCAGTATGTAAACAATTGTCTAGTGTGTCAAAGAATGAAGATCTATTAAAATAAAACTTCAGAACTGCTGAAGTCACTATTAATCTTCAGCAGTGCCTGACAGTATATTTCAATAAACTTTATAAATAACTCTATAATAAAAAAAGAATATAATGCAATATTGATAATTATCTATTAACTAAGCAAGAAGTTTATATTTATTTCTATCATAAGAAAGGCAGATGTTAAAAAGCTAGTAAGACTATTTTTGAAATACTACTATGAATATTATAAAGTATCAGATTCAATTGTATCAGATTATAAGTTATAATTTATCTCAAACTTCTGAAGTGAGTTCATTAGATAATTAGAAGTTAAGCTGAAGCTTTCATTAGCTTGTTACATGCAAATAGATAGTCAGATTGAGATTATGAATTAATATCTAATAATCAAGCTCTGTTTATATATAACTTACTATCAAAACAACTGAAATAAGTGACTATCAATGATAAACCACATAACTGAAGCTCTGATAAATAAATCAATTGAGATAACAATCTTTCTAACAGTTTATGAATATGAATCTCAAATGTTTTTTGATTGAAAGTTATTATCTAATACTTTTTTTAAGAAGCAGTTCTCTCAGTCTTTTAATCATTCTGATAAGTTGCTGATCAACTTCTCATCAGATTCATTCTCAGCTCTCACTAAACTTCACTTCTTCTCAAGCTGTTTATTAATTTCATATAGACTGATTATGAAGATTGTTAAGTTTATAATTTTTATATAATTATGAAAGGAAGCAGTTTTAATAAAGTTTATATTCATTATTTGTTATACTGTCTTCTCTCAAATCAGTTTCTACCTTGTTTTAGATGTTATGACTAAGCTAATTTCTTTCAATCTACAGAGTCAAGTTTTATACTTCTGTTTAATCTTCTTGTTCAGTTTGATCTTTCTTCATTTGATATTTGCCTGATGCTCAGACTTAAAGTTAGAGTACTTTAGTATTGACTGAGATACTATCTTCAATACTGACTTTATAATCTATTCAGAAATAGACTATTTACTCAATTAAATCAAATATTGATTTTTTATATCGAGTTATATATTCTGTGCTGTTAATCTCTTTTATTTCAAAATAACAGAATACTGATTCAGATCTATTATCAGTAAAAAAATATTCTAAAATCTCTGATTATTCACTCAGAGGTTTAAAGTCAATATATAGTCTATTATATCATTAGAGATATTATTATATCTCTTTATATAGTATTTGAATAAGAGTTCTTGAAACTTTCTATTGAAAAATATTATCAGTTCTATAATATATCAGATATCAATAAAATTTATATTATTCACTTCAATATTAACAAAAGAACTTGTAGAAGTAACAATTTCATTATAGACTAACTTGATCAGTATATCAAAACTTTTTCTCTCAATCAAGTCCTTCATATCAAATCTCTTATAGACTATTGAATTATCTGAGATAAAGTCTTTTCTTAAACTTATTCTTTTCTTAAATTTATTGAAAACTTAGAAATATTATTCACTTTGAGCTTAATTATCATCTATTGAGATCTTTATTTCATAAAATAGTTTCTTGTAATATGATCTTTCTTCTTGCAGTAGTAGCACTGAATGTCTAAATGAGTACTCACAGTTTTTTTTATGATTGAGAATTTTGTAGAAGAAATATCAAAGAGAGTTTGATTATTGAGAGTCTATTAGATGTTTTGCTTGAGAGTATTAAATTTATTTCTTCATAAGCTATTTATCTTTTTAATAATATTAATTATCTGAAGGATATGAGTTATCTGTGTACAAATCTTTTGAAACTCAGTGTATATATTGATGATCATATTAACTACTGCTATTATTCTCTGAAGATCAAAAAACAGTTTATTATTAAAGTTTATTTAATAATTTCTTTTGATAATCTTGATCTTATCTATCAAATATAAGAATTTTATGATAAATTTATGATAATTATTCTCATTATATATAATCAGCTTGTAATACTTGCTTTTAATATTTTATAACTTGTTAGTATTTTCATATATTAATTTGAAATGCTCAAATATCTTTTCTGCAAACTAATATTACTCAGAATGATTCTCTTCTATACAGAGTGCTATATGATATACTGTGTTCTCATTCACCTAGTTCTCAATATATATAATTTTTATGTGTTTTATAGAGTAGTAATTTATATTTTTTTGAAACTTGTTTCTTATACAAAAGAGTTAGTGCTCAAACTTTGATTTTTTATTATTAGTAAGATGTTTTGAGTCATCAATCTTGATAGATCTCTTTATATTCTCTGAGAGAGTTATATCTTGACTTGTTGCTTGATTGCTGACTATTATTTAAACTAAAATATGACTAAACTCATCATATTCTGCAATAAGCTTATTAATTTAACTCTGCTTAATAATTATCTGAGCTGCAGTATTATTCTATTTTATCTGCTGATATGTGACTATATCTCTCAGTATCTTCTCATCATCAAAAATACTATCAAAGATTATTGCTAACTCATTGTAGATATAATTTTTATCTGAATAAATTATCTCTCTGAATTTCTCAATTGAGATATATAATTGATTGATAAGTTTTGTTAGAATATATTATCAGTTTTTTTAATTTTTTTTAAAAAATTAAGAGTCTGCAGTGACCATTTGATGTCAGATTAAACTGTTATCTTCAATAGTTAATCTGATATATTATCAGACTCTCAACTAATAGATTCTAATTCAACTAAGACACTTAAGTTTTCTGCTAAAACCTGAGTAAAAAAATAAAAGAAAATTTTAATATTATATTAAAGAGTGAATATAAGCTACATAAGAAGAAAACTCTCTTTGTTGCTAACTGCTATATAACAAAATACTAAGATTGATAAGAAAAAAAAATATCAGAATTTATTCAGATTATAAATAGCTTATATGATCATGTGACTAAATCATAGCTGATCTGCTAGATTATATGTGAGATATGATTATATAATGAAGATATATTTAACCCTAGCATTGAGTCTAACAGATGCTGATTTAATAAAAGAAAAGTTAAAAATTTATATAATACTGTAAATAAATAATAAAGATATCATCAATCTGATAAAATAAAGTTATTGATAAAGAGATTCTATTATATAAAGATTTATTATCATATACTTCATAATTTTATTGAGAAGAAAAAATTAAAACTTTTATATATAAATTTTACAGTAAATAAAGCAAATAAATTTATAAAGTTTTTGTAAAAGTCAACTTATATTAAATTCATGAAGAAAATAGAATTGATAGAGATCTGATTTCATTGATGAGAATAATTAATTTTTTTATACTGTTTTATAGTCTTAAAGGAAAATATAATAATATTACAGATTAGAGAAGTAATTGCATATTTTCTTTGCAAAGTTACAGTATAAATGTGTAAAAGAGCTTTTTCTAATAAGGAAACTAGCATCTGATTCCTGTATTTAATTTTTATTGTGGATTTGGGGGATTGAGCAGCTAGGGGATAAATGACAGAGCTCAGGCTCACCATAGAATCAAGAGAGTGTTAGTGAATGCCCCAGCTACCTGTGTCACATGCACCTACATATATAATAGTGTAGCTAGCTCGCTTAGAGCCCCACAGAACAACAAGGTTGATATTAGTCCTCTTAGAGGAATTATGAGAGTCTGAACATAGCAGGCATAAGATAGTAGTATTCATAATGACTAGCTAATCTATATATGATGACTATCTTGACTATTAATAGAAGAAGAAGAGAAAAATAGCGAGAAAAAAATGAAATATATATTCATGTGTGCGGGCGTACGCGAGCTTATTCACATATGGCCGTAGCGGCGGTCTGCAAGGATCTGAGGCATACGAGCGATATGATGATCATGACACATGTTCAGTGATAGATTAGCCTGTAGCGAGGGTAGCAAGCGCTCTCAAGCTTGTGAAGAGAGCAAAGCATGCTTGTATGGAGAGATATAAAATAAAAATATTTATACTGTAATTTATCTGTTAAACTATCTCTGATTCCGCGTTTTTCGCAATCATTCATCTCATAACAAATAACAAAAATGAGTAACAATAACTGGACTAAGGTCGAGTTTAGGTTTGCGAAGCGCTTGTGTGCCCAATGGATTCCTATGGCCAGAGCTCCGCAGTACAATTGTGCTTTTACTTGCTCTTTGGCCGGTGGTGCTGGGGGAAATCTCCATTTCTGTCCTCCTTCGCGGTCTGCGGTTGCTAAAGAAGGAGCTGTTGCTGTTGCTGTTGCTGTTGTTGCGCAACAACTTCTCTAGCATAGAATTCAACAAGCATTGTACCGTATGCATCTAACTTTTCGACTGGAACAGCGAGTCGGAAATCATTTAGAAGGAGGAATTGGAGTTCGAGGTGGTTAAGTTCCAGCAGAGGAAGGCCACCAACCTGGGTACATTAGTGCACAGCTGGGTAGGAAAATGGATGAAAGATGAGGTCCTACCTTGGCGTATCTGGAATTAGTGTAGAAAACATCTGAGAAAAACTTGCTTGCACAGGTCACACCTGCAATGACGAGGCGGTGGATGTTGAAACTATCGACAACGAAGTAATGAGAGAGGCTGAAATGAACGTCGTTACGTGGACCAGGGGTGGTGTTTAAAGACTGTGGGATGGAGTTGGGACATATAGTGGAAGGAGGGGAAGGGGAGGGAGGATCATGGTCTCGGGCTTGCATGTGAACAGAGGACGGAGGGGTAACGATAGATCCACGGGTGGAAGGGCGATTTGAAGTAACTGCAGACGGAATAGATGGTGACGGGGAGGAAAGAGGGAGACTGGCTGTATATTGATCTGATCTTTGCTGCAGGCTCTGTACAAAGCCCTTGTTCACCATTTCAGTCATGCGATCGAAGTAGACGAGGAGGCTGAGGAAAACTTCGTAGGTTGTTGGACAATACTTGTGTATGCGACTCAAGTAATTGAGAATGGTAATGCTGGGGATATTTTTCCCATGGAAGGCCAGGACGCTGGTGGTTTGAGGACTGATACCAGCGGCGCCATCATTGGGCAGGATGTTGCGGTGCACATGCTCGTGCTGTTGGTCATTGGTGGTGGTGATCTTGGTTAAAAGACCAGCAACCATCTCGATGATGTCTGTGACAGGCATGGAGCTAATCTCGTACTGACGGGGAACATCTTGATAGAAGCGACTAGCACCGCCTTGGGCTTGTGCTTGGAGGCGTCTAGAGGAAGCGAGAACTTCCTCGTTGGCAAAGCTGCGGATATGAGAAAGGTTGTGGACTTGGATGCGACTGGGGGAAGTTGCTTCGTAACAGCCTAGAGAGTGTGAAGAGCGGTAAGTGGGCTGTAATCGAGGGGAGTATTGAGATGACTGAGATGAATTTGAAGACGGGTGATTGCTGTTATTGCTGTCAAGGCCAGAGGGGCCACTGAATAAGGGAAAGCCGGCCTGATCGAAGCCGTGGTTTTGCTGGTGAGGGTGCTGTCGGTAGGAAGGCCGATAGCGATCGGGGAGACGGTGAGAGTCAGGAAGCGATGTCATCGATGCAGGTGTATTGGTAGGCCGTGATGGCTAGGCAGCTGAATGGGCATTCTGTGAATGGAGAGAAAATGAAGGATTCACAGTGGTGGTAAAAGGGGAGGAGTAGAGGCAAGGAACGACCGGGTGAAAAACCTGGTGTGTATAGTTATTTAGCGGGAAGAAGTAGAAGTTGAAGAAGAAGAAGTGGAGATAGTGAAGGTCAAGGTAGTGAAATCCAGCAGAGGGAGGAGATTGATGAGAATGTAATGCGAAGGTTGAAATTGAGATTTAGATTACTGTTTGTGAAAATTAATGCAAAATCATTGTAAAGACATATAATAACAGCAAATTAAAAATAAAAATAATCTAATATATATTATATAATTTAAAAATAATTAAGTTATTAATTTGTTATATTATAAATGATAATAATTAAATTATTATTTAATTATTATATATAACTAGTTATATACATATTATATAATATAATAATGTAATACATGAGTATTACATATGAATTAAAATCAGTATTTAATACTTAAAATATCAATTATACAAATTCATCAAGTTTCTAATCAATAAGAAAGACTTTTTTTAACTCTTTAAGAACTTAATTAAAATCAAATTACTATAGAACAAGTAGTTGTAAAGTTGTAAAAATATCTTTCTGACAGAATGACTATGAGAATGACTATGTTGAAAAAATGTCATATGATGTAAGTTTCAGTCAACTTTCACTTACTATAGTAGTAGTATTTAATATTATATATAATAATAGATCTACTCTATAGTTCAGATACAAAACCATCAGAAAAAAATAAAACTATTAAAATAAAAGTTAAAATAAAATTATTAAAAGAGAAAAAAATATTTATTCTTTATTTTTATAATTTTCTTATAGTATATTAATAAAGTAACTTCTAATAATTTAATAAAATAACTAATTAAAAATAAAATACTTATATATATAATATTTAAATTATTATTATATAAATTAATAAAATATATCTTTAAAATAAAATTTAAAATTTAAAAAGTATTATCAGTGTTTTAAAATTTTATAAAAATTATTTAATTTATAAATTTAATTATAAAAAATTTTACTTTTAAATTATATAAATAAATAATTAAATTTAAAAATATAATATAACTTGAGTTATAATTTTTAAAATTATATATAAAATATTAAGAGAAAAAATTTAATAATATTAATCTATTTAATAATAAGTAAAATTTTTTTATTATTGAAATATTATTTAATAGTTATAGATTTTAAATCTAAATTTTTTTAATTTATATATATATATATTAATATTATAAGTTAATATAAATAAATAAAACTTATTAAATATTAAAAATTTTATATTATTTATTTTTTTTATTTATAAGAGATATAAAAATTATATATTTAATTTTATAAAATTAAATTTTAATATTAAATATTATTTTAATTATATATTATAAAATATTAATAATATAAATTTTTTATTTATTAAAAAATATATTTTAATTAATATTTTTAAAAAATTAAATAAAAAATATATATTTATTAGTTTCTACTTTTTAAAAAAATTATATATATATATATTTTAATTTTATTAAAAATATTTAAATTATATAATTAAAAGTATTTAATATATTATTTAATTTATTAAAAATTTTTTATATATTTTTTAAGTTTAATTATTATCATAACTTTAATATAAATATATATAATAAAATATTTAATTACTAATTTTAGAAGCTATTTTAATAAAATATTAAAATAATTTTTAAAAAATAAGTTTAAAAAAAAATTAATTTATATATATTTTTATATATTTATTAAATTATTATTGATTAATTATTTATAAATTAATTATAAAATAATTACTATATTATTATTATATAAATATATTAATTAAAAAATACTTTAATTATTTGAAGTTATATATTTATATATTAAATAATTATAGCTATCTTACTTAAAATTTAGTAATAAATTAAAATTAATATTAATTTTTTTAATAATTATAAGTTTTTTATATTAGAAATTTTTAGATAATTAAATATAAAAACAATTACTTAAAAAAATTTTTATTTTTTTATAAATTTATAATCTCATAATTGAATAATATTAATAATTAATTTATATTTAAATAAAATATTATATTTAATAAAATAATATATATTTAAAAAAAGATAAAACTGAAAATTTAAAAATAAAACTTTGAAGATTAAACTTCAGAGTTTATAAATTTACTATTTATATTTATTATAATTTATAGAAGTTTTTCTATAGTATTTAAAATAAATAAAATAATTTTAATAAAATTAAATAAGTTTAATAATATATATAAAAATTTACTTGATAAAATATCAAAAAATATAATTGACTTTAGTTATTATATATTAAAAATTAGAAAAAAAACTTTGATATAATTAAATATTATAAAATTTAATTAAATAATTAAAAAAATAAAAGTTAGTAAAGAAATACTTACTATTAATATATTAATAATAATAATAAAATAAATAAAGATCTTATATATTAATTACAGAAAAAAAAATAAAACTTCTATTATAATTAAAATTTTAACTAAAATTAAAAAATAATAAAAAAGTAAAAAATATTAAAAAATTTAGTATTTTAACTAATTTGATAAATTATTTTATATAAATAAAAGA